TTTTTAAAATTAAATTATTAATTTATTGAATTTCTAAACAAAAGCAAATCAGTTTATAAATAAAAACATTACTTTGGATTTAATTTCATTTAATTTAATTATTATAATTTTATTAATATATTAATAAATTAAAATTTTAAAATTATTAAATTAATATGTTATTAAAAATTGATATATATTTATCTATTTGATTTTAAGTAAAGTTATATATTTTTAGCGAGATTTAAAATCGTAAATTTTAAATAAAATATAAAAATTTTTAACTATGGTAAATTTAAAGAAGGGGGTAAAAAAAAAATCACCTTATATACTTGTTTGGCTTCAAAAATAAGTAAAAAAAGAGTGATGAATTACATTTACCACTTAGTTTCTTCATATAGAAGTTGTAAAAAAGTCAAATATGGTACACCTTCTCAGTAAGTATTGGAGAAAAGAAGATGGTAGACATGCAATCTTCTAAAAGTTACCATGTAAATCTATGGCAATGTCAATTTTTAGGATTGAAAATAATAGATTTCATAGTTGGTGGTACAAAGTTGATACAGTAAAAATAGACAGCTTCTCATTTAATTCTGCATTTCTAATCCCAAAAAGGAAAGAAAGAAAACAAACATGCATGTTATTCAGGGTCTTCTCCTTCCCCCCCTTGATCTCTCTTTAGAAAAAGAAAAAAGAATTGAAGACTAAACTCGGCCAGAACTAATCAGACACAGACTTCCGATGCCAGGTTCAACGATTAATTGGAGTGTGCATCCGCTCAACGATTCTGTTTACAGCATCACGGGACATCACTAGCGTGTCGTGCAGCAGAATGCTATAAACATTCAGGCCCTGTAAGGATACGTACAAGACGAAAATGTAACGGACCCAGTTATGCAACAGCTGATTCAAGAATCTAAAGTAATTTTCAATTATGAGAAGGCATAGAGCAGGGCAGGAACTAAATAATGCAACTTACAATTGAAGGCAGTACATTCACGTAGTGTAGATTTTGTGTAGCTAGCTTCAGCTTGTCATCTATGGGACCACCGTCGATGAGCAGAAGTTTCTTCGTGTTCTCCATTTCTGTATAGAAGTTTACGATATTCTTGGTTTTATGCGTGGGGACTGCCATATCCTCGAAAACGAGAAGCTGTTTGCTCGTGCAAAATATTCTCTTGTTACTTTCTTGTTGCTCATGGTGGTGAAAAGGATCGATAAAAGAAATTGGTAACTAAAAGATTATGATCGTAGTATAGGGAAGAGGCAAGACCCTCAAAAGATTTGGAAGAAAATCGAGTCATTATGTAACAGAAGAAAATCTACTGGATTCCATACGCAAAAATCCTTTTCTACTTAGAGACAGGCCAAACTTTGATTTTGAAATTTCCTGATTTTATGGAACTCTAGGAGCAGCTGAGATTCAGACTTAAACTTGAAGGTACATGTAAACCTCAAATCCAAGAAAAGAGGAAAGGACAGAGACGACAACAGAGAGAGGGAGAGGGAGAGGGAGAGGGAGAGAGAGAGAGAGAGAGACTTGCCTTACCTTCTGCTGCACGAGCAGAGAGCGCAATCTTCAGCCCAAGACGCCGAACCTTCTTATTTAGCTTAATAGCATGACTTCGTGGCTTAGGGCCATGCATGGTAGCACCACCTCTGAACTGTTTGCAATTGATTTGATTCAATAAGGCCAAGCCAGAAAATACCACTGGCAAAGGCGTTCAAAACCAATTAAAGATGGCAATCGATTGAAGAAATATATTACCTGAGGACCACGCAAAGTACCATGCCTTGCTCGACCAGTACCCTTCTGTCGCCATGGCTTTCTACCAGTTCCACTAACCTCACTAATAGTTTTGGTTGAATGAGTTCCCTGTCAACATCTTAATTGGTATGAGCAACTCTTCTATACACTTAATGAACATGATATAGAGACTCCACAATTTTCAGTTTAGTTAGTAGTTACACATATAGGACTTCACCGATTACCGTTAGCTCGTATATTTAAACATCAGACCCTTTCGAAAAAAAAAAGGATGCATCCATGACCTCTCTATCAACAAACCTAGATCTGACATAGACAAAATGCAGATTACTCAGACGCAGTTACCCACCCCAACCAAGCATGCATGCATGGATGTGTTACAGAGATATAAAATATTATTAGCTTAAAGGCTATGTCCTGTTTTTTTACATGAAATTTTAATTTCAAATTCATTCATATTTTTAATATCGTAAAAACATATAAAGCAGTTCATAGGGTAAAAAATATTTACAAAAAGGAAAGTGAAAATGAAGATTATTTGAAAGAATAAAAAGCTGTTATTAATGTTTATTTGGGAAACTGGTTGATTTATACTTGATTACTTCATAAATACATCATCATACATACTTTCATGAATAAACATACGAGAATTTAAGAAATGAAAACTAGAAAATATTTTCATATACCAAATAGAACTGAATATTCTTATGAAAAGAGTAGAAGTGGGTAGAAAGGATTTAATTTTCCCCTTAATAAGGCCAATTTGGTTATTACAGTTAAATACTTTGACTCCCATTCCCCTTCAATCCATTCTCTCTCCATGTGAAAAGAATAAATTTTAACACTTGGACGAAGAATGAGGATGAACTTGTCATTCTCATTCCATTACTTCCCATTCCTTCTAGAGTTTCTATTGTATACCATTCCTTCCCCAGAATATAGAGAGAATATTATCAATAAGACGAGGAAAAGAACACATAAGAAATAAATTAATCAGGTAGACACTTAACATTTTCTTCTTTTTTTTTCATATAAGCACTTAATATTTCAGTGGCTTTATCACAATGCATCTGATATTTGTAAAAATAGTAAAAATAGTAAAAATAGCCCCATGGTCCCGCCCTCCCCTCCCTCCCCCAAAAGCCACTTTTCTTTCTTCTTTTCCTGAAACTAAAATAATTTATTAGGTTGAAACTGCCTCAAAATACCTGTTGTCGTTTAGCAAGCTGCCATCTTACAACCCGATGAACAATATCCTTCCTAATAGGAACATCAAAAACATCACCAGCCAACACCATGAAGCCCTTATCCTCATTATGAAAATTTGTCACAGGAATTACTAGGTCCTGATAAACGCCTACATCATAATGCATTACATCAATAAAACAATTGTCTCATTTAACACAGGAAGCAATATCTATTTTGCAGATTCATAAAACAGGGGAAAATGAACTATAAGCAAACATAAGGGAAAAAACTGTAATATTCATCTAAGCTGGATAAGAGAAAGCTAACTTGTAAATACAGAGAGAAAGACAAATATAATTCAAATGCATACAACGGATCTACAATTTGTTTAGAAATAAAAAGAAAAATTCGAACTTTTGTGTTAGCCAGTTTCCCACTCCAACCGGAAAATCAAATTGGGCACATGACCAATTTACAATTAATTCAAGCATTAGGAGTTACCAAAATAACTTTGCTAGAAAATATCACCTATACAAATCTGTATACAGTATTTTAATAATTCTTTATACCTATCGTACGTTCTGGTGTTACTAGAGTCTTCTTAGACAATAAATCTGAAGGAAATGCACTGCCACTTGAGTCTGGAGTCAGAATAGAAGTTGAAAGCCTTCGATTGGTAAAGAAAGACGAACCTGCCTATAATAAAGAGTCAATACAACACCTAATTTATTACACAGTTACCAAGAGTAGACTCAAAGTACAAACGAGAAAACGTTAAAAATAAAAGAGGAGAAAAAAACGCAAAACTTGAGATATCAAATAGATAAGACTTTGGGCACCCATCAACTAAGCAAGAAATAAATTTCTATATATTTCAAAGCTAGTAACAACATAATATGTTTCAACAAGAACTGGGATCATTGCTACATGAATCAGCTAAAAGACCTTTGAATACAAGAATTTGCCGTTCACACTATCATGGATAACATTATATACACCAGTGGGAGACTAACTGCAATGAGGAAGAACCCCTAAATCATATGTAGACGCCAATTTTCACAGCATTTCAATAAATAGGCTGAAGAGAGGGAAAAAAGGATAATGCAAATATACCCGTAAATAACTAAAGGAAGAAAATAAGCCATCCCCGGAAACATAGCCACAGGAATCTGTGAACACTGAAGGTAAAAATAACAATTAGTGAACCCACAAGATAATCAAAACATGCAATCTAGACATATATATAACTAAACGAAATTCTTTATCATTACCTTGAGAAGCTCTAAATGAATTAGAAGTAACACTCAGGGAATCACAGTGGCCAAACGTAGATAAAGTCCCAAATGAACGCAAAAGCCTTCTAGATATTGACACAGCCATATCCTTAACTCTTCAAGCGCATGTGATACTTATCTGCTCATCTAAAGTCAAGCTTGAAACTTTAATCTTCAGGCTTAAAAATAAAAAAATCCCATCACTTCTTTTTGTGATTTATGAACTAAAAAGCAGAGGATAGCTTGCAAAAGCTCTCATTTTCACGACTACTACATGTTTGATAAAATGTCACAGAGAAACAACATACAAAAACAACAAGTTAGTACAAAAAGGGTCACGTTTGGTAAAACCAACAAATGAAATCTACTAGGGTTGTTTAAAACTAACAAATGTAAAGCTGCGAACATAAAGTACCTTAAGGATTCAGCAGAAGAAAACTAGAGCACAGACGGTAGCTGTTCGATTCTAACCCGGAGGGACGAACGGGAGGAGGCAGACAAGTTGAGAAAAGGGGAAGTGGGGATTGATTCGCTCAAAATGAAAACCCCATGATCGACTAGCTCTGAGTAGTTTTGGGGTTTAGAAGAAACCCAAAGTCCATTTCTTATGGGCCTTCAATGGAAAAAGAGAAAATAGATGGATTTACAAATGGAGAAGAAGAAGCCTCTTTTATTTTGTTTTAAATTTATTTTTTACTCATGACATAAATTTTTTAGGGTTAATTAACTTGGCATTTAGCTCTAATTATAATTAAAATTTATTAGTTTAAAAAAATAATAATTTACTTTTTTATAATCAAAATAATTTAATAATTAAATTGTTTATACAATGTTTTATACAACTATATTTTTCTTTCTTTTTTTATTATATATGAAGTATTCTTTTAATTTCTCAAATTTAATTAACATGATTGAAAGATGATATTAATTTAATTATTATTTAATATCTATGAAAAATGAAAAAAAAACTAATAATGTATATTATTAATATTTTTAAAAATAGTAATCAGTTCAATTATAATTTTACGAATTACCCTCTAATTTACCGAAAATCATATAATAATCTATTATATTAATATAAATTAATTTGCTTTTTAAATATATTATAAGTTTTTATTGTTTAATTTCTTCAATTCTCATACTTCTTTGGCATAATTATTTTCAATAAACTTTATAACAATGTTTTAGGAGTATGTGGCACATTGGAAGATTTTGGTCTTGCAAGTCCAACCCTAGAAGGATTTAGTGTTTCGAGTTCAAAATGTTTTCGGATGAATGATGATTGATTGAACCGGAATTAGTCATTATACCACTAATGATTGACTTCGAAGTGTCAAAAACTAATGCAAACTCTTAAATTACGAAACGTTGATCGATCTATATTATTATAAAGTCTAATCAACTTCTATTATTAGACAAATATTTCAACCCGTTTTAGATCTAATCGTCTTTTATTATAAGACAATTATTTCAACCCATTTTAAAAAAAAATATGAATTTAAACCTAAATTTGAAATTTTCTAATTATAGATTTAAAAAAAAAGTCATACATTTATCAAGTAAGAGAGATACCTTGCAAGCCATATCCTTAACTGTGAACCCTAAAATTTGTACCATCTAAATTATGAATTCTAACTTTACTACTATCCAAATTTTACATTTCAACCATTAAAAAACTTATACTTTTGATTTAAGTTCTAAAATGAATGTTCATCAAAGCAAAAACACAAAGATGGGATAATTATTGATAAACCACAAAACCCATATAATTAATTTACCTCTTTAAGTATTTTTTCCAGCAAATATGAAGCTTAAGAACTTGAATGAAGCTTAACAATTTCTCAGAAAACCCTAGGAAAGATGGCAGATTGGAGGGGCTGAAGATATTCTAGAAGTCCTTTAGTAATACCTTACAATATATGTATCATAGGCTCCGTGTACCAGAAGTAGTACCCATCTGATATTAATATTACAAGACAACTGTTTTGATACTTCTATATATATATATATATATATATATATAAATTCAAGTTGGCAGTCAACAATATATAAAAATTAAGATATACATAGATATAACATAAGGTGAGGGAAACATGGTGAGTAATTATGAATCCTCAGAGCAGTGTGGGGGTGATATCCATGGGAAAGGGATTACCCAACACATTGTCCATGTAGTAGTGAGGATGGGTAGCATCCATTACGACAAACTGCATGTCCTCCGATGGCTTCCAGTGACGTTTTCGTTGATTGATGAACCAGTTGTTTATCTGCTTCTGATCCAGCCCCGTTGATTCTGCAAGGGCGAGCTTCTGTTGCTCCTGCCGATCATATTGACATTCAATGTATAAATGTTTTAGAACCATCAGGAAGATCAACCAAATGTTAGATTAGCCAGACACCCGAGAAAAGATGCATAAAAGGGCTTATAAACTATATTCTTATAATGCATATATGTAAATAGACTAATATAGTTTCTAAGTAATTGGAATTGTGCCAAAATACCCCAATAACTATGCTACTAAAGAGTTAACAAGTTATTTAACTCATATATTCTATGCCAAGCAAAAACCCGAAAAGAAAAAGTTTTGAAACATTTATCAATTTCTGCTCATCATCCCAGAGCATTATTCCAACTTTATCTCCCTACGAAACAAAACGAAACACTTGTAAGTTCATAAAGCTTAACTATAATCTAAACCTCATCTATAAGAATGTGCCTATCATCTAGGATTATGATAATTAAGAATTCGGGTCTATTTTTTTGTCGTAATCTGTTTATTTAAAAGCTGGCCAGTTAGCTGAAAATTTAAATCAAAAAATTCATATCAATATCTAATTCTCTCATCTCTCCCAAGTTTATTCTTATTTTCTCTTCTGGAGTTCCAACACTTTTTAGGGGTTGAGATGAAGGGCAAGGGCAAGGGCAAGAAGGCCTATTCGTAACCTACCATTATACATAATGTTGTATTATATATATATATATATATATATATTTCAAATATCGTTTTCCATAAGGTAACATTTAGACTTGTAAGATTTGAAGTTAAAGGAACGGTTAGATTTATAACCTAGCTAGTCACTACCGACACACAAAATAGCGAAAATCTACAAGAAAAACATGCAATAAGACAAGTGAATAAAGAATTTTGAGGTTATAGTGTATGCATATGTATGTATATGTAGATACCGAAGGGTATGGCCATTTGTAATGTCTGCTCCACCAATCCAGCAGCTGTTGTCTGGCTTCTCTGGGAAGCTTTCCCTTCTTCCTCTTCTTCATGAATTCCTGCTTAAGGCTACCTAAATACCCACTGTACTTACGCAAAAGCTGACCTTTAAGCTCCCGGTCTTCCGCTTGAGGATCAATGAACTCATTGTTAACATCAACCTCTTCTTCAGATGACCCATTCCTATCAATTCCGTCACCACAACCTGATTGCATTATGAACTATAGTAATTAAGCACCTACTAATTGGAATTATATATATATATATATTATATAATATAATAACCCTGAAAATTAACCATGTAGATCAACTCATAGAAGATAATATACATATGCAAGCAGCAATTCTATATATACAAGGTTTTGACCTTTGAAGATATACATTATTATCTTTTTGCCACGCTACTGATCTTCCTGAAATTCATCGTAAATAAGACTTTCAAAACTTTAACATTGCCTCGAAATTTCTCTCTAGAAGCAAAACAGAATAGTTAGATGATCCCAAGTGAAGCTTGTTCAAACTTTCCAATGGCCTAAAGATCTGAAATTTACAACAAGTCTTCTAAATTTTTCTTTCTACAAGATGACTAGCCAAAACCAAACACGATATATAGCCACAACGACAATTATATACCGATGCAAACTCAAGGAATTCATTCTTGAATGAACATTTTTAGAAGGCATAACATAAAAGAACTCTCATACAAACAACAAATCAAACTATTGGCATCTTAACTTCAAATCCAAGAAGTCTAAATTCTATCTCTAATGGAAAACAATGACCGCCTTGTAATTTAAGAGCACGAGTCACCTTATAACTCAACAAATACATATAGAAACCAGAAATTATATATATAGAAAGATACCCTATATTAAGTTTAAAATAAACAAGGAACCATGATTAAAAAACTGAAGGTTTGGTTTATGTAAACTAAGATGAGCCACTTCATCGAAGGGATGGAATCAAATAAATACAGAGTACAACTTAATATATATCTACTCTTGCGCTAAACAAGAGTCAAGACTCCAGATTCCACTTCTATATAAGTAGAGAAGCATCACTCAGACTCAAAGATCAAGTGTGAATTGGGGCAAGTATTAACTATAAAGGGTGTGCATCTGTGGCGTGAAAACATAATTTTACGAAACGATTAATCTTTAATGGAATCAAGACACATTATCACAAGCACTCTTCATATATCATCCGCATTATTTCACATGGTTAGACTATCACACATGTAATCGCGCTAGCTTCTCGAGCAAAATTTAGTAAAGTTCATCAAAATGGTATTTGTCGCAGAACAAAGTTTTTTCCTCGATTAAAATTTCCACACCGCATTAAACCCCATGTCAGTTCTCCATGCAACTAAAGTTCAAAACATTATACAAATTGAAGGCATTTATGATAGGTCCACATTTGACTTTACTACACAATGTTAACTAATGATCCTACAAAACATTAAAGGTGATTTAGACCTATTGCAATTAGATGAAGAGAAAGATACCCACCCACCCACGAACCAAAACATCAAATTAATCCGTACCATGTACATATGATATATCAACATATATATGTGCATGATGCAAGATTAGAGCTTTGTGTTTTTTCAAAATTCAAGTGCAAATTAAATATTCTTTTGGGAAAACAGAAAACAAGAAAGTGTTTTTAAACTGCATATTATTCTTTTCATTATTTACTTTATATTTTTTCACTTAATCAATTTAGGAAATAATTAAAAACCCAGAAAGTATTTTAAACTAAGAATCAGTATATGGAGATCAGAACAGACAAAAACCCTAATCAAACGGCTGAAAGAAAACACAATTAACAAAAGAATTCAAGATAGATAAAGTAGACAGAAAATCACAGAGACCCAAAGAAAATACATTTCCTTATTAAATATCTCCTTTGTATCCTGCAAGGTGCTAAAAACAAAAATGCCAATAATTAAATAAAGAAGAGAGATTAACGAAGAAGCACTAAAGACTCCACAAGGAAGAGATCATCCTTGGAAATAATACACTATATAATATACATACATACGTATGTGTATATATATATATATACACACACAGGCAAAACTCATTAACTATGGAAGAGAGAAACAAAAGAAAGGAAGGGAGAAATTAAAAAATATTTAAAGGGTCAAGAAAAGCATGCACCTACATAGAAGAGTGAAGAAAATAACTTTTAGTATATACTAATTATATTAATTAATAATTAATTAGACTACATGCTCTCGGAAACACGGGCATGCATGGCGGATCATTTTACTTTACTTAATACAAAAAAATATATATTTTTTTAGTCAATAA